TGTACCCTTAAGTGTTCTAACCATACAGGCTAAAGCAAGAAGCCTGTTCCAAAGCCTGAAGGAGCAGGCAGGAGATGAATGTGATCAAACCTTTACAGGAAGTCAAGGGTGGTTTGATAGATTTAAAAAACGCTACAGTCTACACAGTGTTAAGGTGAGTGGAGAGGCAGCTAGTGCCGATGTTGGTGCTGCCGAAGCTTTTAAGGAGGAGTTAGATGATGTGATTGTGGAAGGGAATTATTTGCCAGAGCAAATATTCAATGTGGATGAGACTGGATTATTGTGAAAACGCATGCCTGACCGGACATACATCCACAAAGAGGCAAAAAAAATGCCCGGATTCAAGGCATTCAAGGACAGAATTACACTTCTGTTGGGGGGGAATGTTGCTGGTTTCAAGCTAAAGCCCTTCATGATCTATCATTCAGAGAACCCCAGGGCTTTTAAACATGTCAGCAAGCACACACTGCCAGTGTTTTATCGCAGTAACAAGAAAGCCTGGATGACCCTAGTACTATTTGAGGATTGGTTCATGACTTGTTTCATTCCACGAGCCAAGGAGTATTGTCTGCAACAAAGGATTCCATTCAAGATTTTACTGATTTTGGATAATGCTCCGGGACACCCACCACACCTGGACGACATGCACCCTGATGTTAAGGTAGTGTACATGCCACCTAACACTACCTCTATCATCCAACCCATGGATCAAGGTGCTATTTCTGCCTTTAAAGCGTATTATTTACGCACGACCTTCGCTCAGGCTGTTGCTGCTACTGAAGGTGAGAAAACGCTCAGACAGTTTTGGAAGGAGTACAACATTTTGTCATGTATAAAGAACATTAGTGCAGCATGGGATCAGGTTACAAAACATTGCATGAATGGAATATGGAAGAAAATCCTGAAAAGATATGTGAACAGTTTCAAAGGATTTAATGAAAGTGAAGTTATTTTGGATATTAGTAACAAGATAGTGGAGTTAGGTAAACAGCTGGAGTTAGAAATTGATACTGAAGATGTTGGACAGTTGGTTGAAAGTGTAGCAGAAGAGCTCAGTAACGAGGATCTTATTGAACTAGATGCACAGAAAGTTGCAGAGGAAGAAGAGAGACAAAATGTAGAAGAAGAGCCTGCACCCCCCAAAAAGTTTTCAGTGAAACATATGGCAGAGGCATTTGCTACAATTAATAAAGCAATGCAAATGTTTGATGACATGGATCAAAATTATGAGCGTTATGCCAAAGTTGACAGAATGATCCAAGATTCACTTGCTTGCTACAGAGAAATTTATAATGAAAAGAAAAAGAAAACTGTGCAGTCTAAATTGGACACCTATTTCAAGAAGTCCCCCAGTACTGGCTCCTCACGCCCCACCAGTGCTGCCTCTTCACTCCCTCAAGATGATCCAATACCTTCAACCAGCAAGTTACCACAGTACATAAACCTGTCTGAAGGAAGCGACATTGATGACCCACCCAGCCCTGTCTCCTCTTCTGCTTCTTCCAATTAATATAGTCTCCATGTATCCTGTAAATAGAAAATTATGGGGGCTCTGTGTGCATTCAGCTGACTACATTTAAGGTAAGTGCTCAGTCACACTGTATCCATTCCTCATTATTTATTACTTTTACTGTACTGTATCCATTCCTCATTATTTTTTACGTTTAGTGTACTGTATTTCATTGTAGATTTTTAAAAAAAATTTGAAAAAAAAAAAATTTTGAATTTTTTTTTTTTGAAAATTTTTTTATTTATTTTTTTATTTTTTTATCTATATCGGACTTACGACCATATCGGACTTACGACCTGGATTTGGGTCCCTAACCCCGTCGTAAGTCGGGGTTTAGGTGTATATGATCTTCTGTATTATCTGTTATTGTTTAGGTTATATTAGCCTAGATTAAATACTGTAGTGCAGTTTGGTGGGTTTGCTGAGGACATGTTGGGTGTAGGACGGGACGAACAGGATCGTAATTTATGCCCAAATTTCGGTAGATTGATTATTGTTGTTGTACTTGTTACTGTAGACTCATTTTCATGTACTGTACTGTGCTACAGTTTACCATTCCATCTCTTACTTATAATTTTTCTGAACATATGATTATTTTAACCCCTGGACAAATATTCAGGGAATTTTTGTCAGAGATTTTACTTTTAACTTTTTATTTATGGTTTTGCTCTAACATTGTTTTCCAGTGGTGGTTCTTGTGAATAGTTTTAATAGGAAGCATCTCAGAAACACTGAAGTGTGGGACTGAGTGTGGGACCCTGTCAACCATGGTGGCCCAATACTCCTCAATCCTCTGTGTACACATTGTACTATTGTACTGTATTTACTTTTCATTTGTGGTTTGTGACAATTAAGTGTTCTAGCATTGGTTTATAGTGATGGTATTGTACTTGGTTCTCAGGAAACTTAAAATAATAGACATGCTAAGGTTAGAGCAAGTCTTCAACTCAAATTCAACTAATCATCATTACACATTTTTGCCTCAACCTTAGGGTGCGAAAAATAAGGTTAGTGTATTGGATTTAAATTAACATGTCTTTAGATATTATAGAGAACAAGGCTTTGACCAGTTACTTGTGCAAAAAGCAGGCATGAGAATATTATCCCTGTGTAAGTCTTACAAAATGAGTTCTGAGGTGGGTGGGGATTGCTTCTCCAATTTTGATATTCAGTACAGAACTGTACTTACATTTTCAGACTGGCCCTTATGCAGAGGTTATTGTACTTGTCTGTGTGTTTGTATATAATCATCAGACACCTGAGAGGATTCAAGTAACTGCAGTCCTGGTGTGGATTATGTCTGCTGAAGTCCTGCATCTGCACTGTTGCTAAACTGAATTATTATACTACTACATTACTATGCTAAAGGAAAAAATAACTCCATCTGTGATTAGCAAAGCTTAATTGTTGGGTAATAAACTTTTTATAGGTCCTCTACTGTATACTGTAAACATACTATATTTATCAAATTTATTTTAAATTGTAATGTGTAAACAATATTGTCCCTACCATTTACATACAGTCAACCCTCACTTTACGCGGTCCCACATTCCGCGTTTCTACGTTTACGCTGTGCCCTGCCAGAACCCAGGATGCTCACATTCCGCAGTGGGTGTACCCCTTTACACGGGTGAAGTATAATTTTTTTATTTAGCTCATAAAATTCATACAAATTATCCGGCCAGAATATAATTTACATTGCTGGAATTCTTACAATTTGATGATCATTTTGAATATAAACATCATAGATTTTGCATTAGACATACAAATTTTAGATATAATGTTTACTCTTGAGTAAATATGTTATCTTTTGTGCAAAATATATGATATTTATATTCAAAATATTCCTGGTCTTACAAGGAATCCAGCAATGTCAATTATATTATCCTAACTTTAGTCTGATTTATTATTTATTACTAAAAAGGTAAACAGTCTGGTATTCCCACACATTTATCTAGTAGGGACGTTGGTGGGGGGGAGGGAGGGACCGGCGACCGACCATCTGTTACCGTCTGAAGAATATTTTTTTTTTTATTAACTGAAGATTTTTATTTTAGCTCATAAAATTCATACAAATTATCCGGCCAGAATATAATTTACATTGCTGGAATTCTTACAATTTGATGATCATTTTGAATATAAACATCATATATTTTGCATTAGACATAAAATTTTTAGATAAAATGTTCACTCTGAGTAAGTATGTTATCTTTTGTACAAAATATATGACGTTTATATTCAAAATATTCCTGGTCTTACAAGGAATCCAGCAATGTCAATTATATTATCCTAACTTTAATCTGAGGTATTATTTAATACAAAATGTTAAAATTTATTTTTTTCACCCACTCTTTCTCTTGAAGGGAGGATTGGTGGGGGGTGGGGGGGAGGGTTGGGACTGACCGCGCGGTTGGAAGAGGGGGGAGGCAAGGTGGGGTACTTTGATTGACAGATAGTGTCGTGAAGAATATTTTTTTTTTTATTAACTGAAGATATTTGTTTTAGCTCATAAAATTCATACAAATTACCCGGCCAGAATATAATTTACATTGCTGGAATTCTTACAATTTGATGATCATTTTGAATATAAACATCATAGATTTTGCATTAGACATACAAATTTTAGATGTAATGTTTAATCTGAGTAAATATGTTATCTTTTGTGAAAAATATATGACATTTATATTCAAAATATTCCTGGTCTTACAAGGAATCCAGCAATGTCAATTATATTATCCTAACTTTAGTTTGAGGTATTATTTATTACTATACCTGGTTTTCCCCCCAAAATTTCTCAGAGAGGGAAGAGCCAGCAGTGTAGTGTGAGAAGAGGGGGAGGGAGTTGAGCCAATTATTTGAATGGACATTAACTTGGCGACTCTATTTCTCTATTTCTCTTAAGTATTAATTGTGTGCATGTACCATCATAAAATTAAGATGTTATTTTTACTACAACATAGTTATGTGTCGTCAAAAAGTGGAGTTTGGAGATCGGCCTGGACTCCATTTCAATTAATCCCATATGTTATGTTATTCACTTTACGCGTTTCTCGCTTTCCGCGGTACCCTCCGGGTTACATTAACCGCGTAAAGTGAGGGTTAACTGTATCTTACTGAATTTAATTATGTGTGATGTAGCTGTGTACAAATTTATCAGAGTCACTGACGTATATTTTCGTTGGGGTCTGTATGTGTATAAGATTTATCTCTTCAGCTGTTTGAAGTAGTATATGAATTTTTTTTTTATGGACTGCCCTTCAAGGTGATCCGATTTAATTTTAGAAGAAAACATATTCTTGGTGAAATACAACTTTGTGGGCCTGGGAGATTTTGCTTAGAGTTGAGTGACTTTCCTTTTTTTGAAATTCATTGTTTGAAGGCCAAGACAATCTGTGTGCTTGCCATACATTTCACAGTTACCATGTGAAGAAATGCAAAAATCTTTGTTCATAGATAATTTATTCAAATTGAATTGTTCAACGTTTCACAGGTATCTACGTCGAGTAAGTTCAAGTAGTGTGGAATTGGAAAGTGAAGGGGAGGAGGAAGAACCCCTTTCCAGTCCACAAAGCCCCTCAAGCCCTTCTAGCACAGCCAACACCACATCAGCAAGAAATGAGTCGCTTTCATCCCTCACACACCCAGAGACACATAACCCTTGGCTTCAGCAGTGCCATCAGACAACCCTCCACAAGCTAAAACAAAAATCTGATCCATCTAATGTTGTTGGTGAGTCAAGATGATATCTGACAGATATTTCAGAATATTTTTTTTTTAGTTGAAGCATACTACATGTTTGGTACAAAAGTCTGAAAATTAGTTGCATTTATATTATTTTCATATGCTTTAGTGATTAATTATGTGTCAATGTGAAGTAAAGATATTGATTATCCATATTAAGAGGGTATATCAGCAGTGAACACTAAGAGTATAACTTGCATTAACAAGGCACTGCTGCTCCTTCAAGTACAGATGATCATTATTACCCAGCAAGACACCAACCAGTTAATCTTATAGGATTATGTACTAAGTATATCATGTAGAATATTCTTAAGAGTGTAGGTGTATTTTTACTTTAGTTCCAATTACCCTACATTTGAACAGGAAAAGTCTTAAAATAGTCAAAAAAGACGTCTTTAATTTGTGATTTTTAGTTGAATTATTCAACTCTATGAATACAGTACCAGTGAGATAAGTTTGTGATAAGTCTACTTGAAAACAGCTCATGACCAATGCTTGGTCACTCATGTTATACATATCTTTTGTAATGTTATCTGAAGCTCAAAAAGGTAAACCAAACATGCCGTACGATGGCAACTATTTCCAATTTATTTCATCGCTGTTCTCCTCACATGCATGTATTCCTGAGCCTGCACTCCATCCTTCTATCGTAGTTCTTATACAAATTCTATACCACATGTAGTACACTGGTATGGAGAAGTGTGTCAAACATTAAGCATTACCAGGCATTAGAGGCTGAAGGTTGACATAAAGTGATGGAGGACCTATATCAAAATAGTATATGGTAGCATTCCTTCTTTCCTTCGCTTTATCTTGCTTTGGATTACAGGAGCTACCTGATTTCTGGTGGAGCATATAGCATGGTGACTCAGATACCCTTCAACCTCCCTTGGAACTCTTCTCTAGTCATCTGGAACTAATATGTTTCCACTATGCAAATCCAGATTTGCCTGGCATCACAGAGGATGGAGTGAGCACCATGGTGTGGTGGATACTGATTGGTTAGATACTGACTGAAAGCAGACTTCCACCCTTCATTCCTCCATCCCTTCCAGGAAGGACACTTGTGTCACCTCATTGGAGGCTGGCTGTTGAAGGGGAAAAAGAGAGTGATCAGTTAGACAGTAATAAGCAGATCAACCCTGGCTGACACTAGGGGCCAAATAAGGGCTCACAGCTCCTTTACTGTATTATAAAGGTTGCCTAACTTCGGGCTCTGCCAGAAAAAGATATTTCAGCATGAACTCACTATACAGTATATGAGCTTCATCTGGTCTTAAGATAATGATCAATTTGCTGATCACTTATCTTGTTTATATGATAGAACTGCCATAATTTTCCATGTAGCTTTAAATTAGTACTTAAGCAATTACTGTATTATGTAAATAAAGATTGAGCAAATTGGCCAAATGTTTCCTTAAAGATGCTTTTCATAATTGAGAAAATTATCCTCCAAAACTAATGTATTTTTTACTTTCCAGAATGCATAATGCTAGAGAACCTGACCTTCAAATTCCGGTATCCATGTGTACTAGACCTGAAGATGGGAACCAGACAATACGGGGATGATGCCCCCGAGAGCAAGCGCAAGAGTCAGACTGCTAAGGCTGCTAACACAACAACGATCACATTAGGAGTCAGATTAGCGGGCATGCAGGTATCTATTATGTGATACTATGTCCAGGAGTTTTTATAAATACAGTATATTATATTATATACAGTATATGCCCCAAAACGAAGTCTCCCTTCCTTCTTTTTTTAATATACAATAATCTTTAATTACTGTATGAAACATGATGTTTTTATGTCATTGTACATATACCAAAATGAAATCTTACCAATGTCTCTGGAATAATGATTTTAACCTTCAATGGTACCACTGCCCCTGGACCCTGCTGGGGGTATCAACCAATCACTTGACTTTTAATATATCCCTCCCACCCCAAGTGTAGATGCTGAAAAAACAAAGTCCCTGTAGTCAGATTACTGGGTATGCAGGTCTCTCTAATACTGTACTGTATTCAGAAACCTTTTGAAAATTAATTAAAGTAAGTGGATCACTGCATTTAGTAAAATCCCTCTAAGTTCCAACAGTTGGTGTATGGGGTATTGCAGTTTTCTCATCTTTTGTGATGCCTATTTTTTTCAAAAGGATATATTGCAATTTAGTGGTGTTTAAGTGCACATATCATGCCAGTGACTGATCACAGGGTCAACAATATTTGAGCTGGAGCATATCTATGTTTATACCCTGTGGTTATGGGGTGGAATTCATCTCATCTTTTAACATTAGATCCTATGGGAAAATGGGCCCTTTTGTATGAGAATTCACATAATGAAATTTTTTTCAATAGTGCACATTGCTCTTTAAGGAAAACCTTACTGTACAAGGGGTCTCCGGGTTACGAACAAGTTCCATTCCTGAGGACGTTCTTTGGTCGGAAATGTATGTAAGTCGGAACACATACCCTATGTGCACTATATCATAGCCTAAGTATCCAAGATCATACTTATTCTTCCAAAATATACATCAACATCCTGTAACATGGGTGGAGAGAGATTTTTTTTTTTTTAGCCACTAAGAGGTGATGTAAGTCCTGTTAACAAACTATGGAATGTTTATTAACTGAGTACAGTGCTAGAAATTGAGGGAATGCTTCACAATATAGTAAAATACAGATGGCTGGACAATACCCTGTATGTATACTCTGATGGCAGATGGTGACATCACAATGGTCATTCATGTCAGTATAAAAATACTGTACTGTCGTTCCACTTTTTTAAAAGCAAATATTTTTTTTTGGTACCCATATAGACAGTTTGCATAAAATTTTATCACAGATACTGTATAATATTTATAAACAGTGAAACTGAATAAACAGGACAGCCTGTAAGAACATTATTTTGGCATTAGCAAACAAATGCTAACACTTAAGAGGAATACTGTACAGTAGTCCTTAATTAAAGTAGCTTTGTCTCCTATTAAATCAAAATAGCTACATGGATAAATGTCTATCATATTTGTTATTTTCTCAGGTTAGGTTAAAGATCCCATTAACATTAGTTTCCATGAATGATTTAACTGTTGTTAGCATCTCACAGTCTGCACTGTTTCAGAAACACTTTCTGCCATTTTTTTTAGGTTTTAATGATTGCTATTTTTTTTTTTAATATATGTTATGTTTGAGGAAAAAAATTATAGGCATGTAAAATATTCTACAGCACAAATGGAAAATATTTTCAATATTTTAAATAGGCAGTTCCTATTGAAATGGTTAAATAAGCTTTACAATATATGTGGTAAACAACTAGAAATGAAAAAATGCAAGATATTATCCTCAAAACTATAATGGGGTCATGTACTGGTTGTCATAACTGTAAACAAGATTTAACATACAATATTCTGTGTATATTATACATTATGTGTATAAACATAATACTGTATATACAATACTGTACTGTAAATAAAGTAATGTTAGGTAAGGTTAATGCTCTCTAGGCATAATGAAATAACTAGAATAAAATGGTGATGACACTATAGTTGCTTACCAAGGTCCACCTGACCATCTCATAGCATAAATAAACTACTGTACTACTGTACAGTATAATGCTTGCCAGGCATGAAACTGTCACTTAGGTCATAGTACCAAATTGACATGAAACTTGCTGCAAATGTTTTACTCTTAATGGAACTCTCTAAGTCCCATTGTGGAGGTACAGGACTAGATGATATTTTATTTTTTTAATTTTTTATTAAGGATTCTGAACTTTGTCAAACTTTATGTCCTGTCATACAGTACAAAACCTTCCAACTGATAGTGGTGAGCAGTTTGTTTAGTCGACTCATCCTACAGTTTCCAGTTCTAGATTGACTTGAATTTATCTCAGTTGTTACCTATGTGATAGACATGTGTAGATGAACTAATAAAAAAAACGTGTGTCCACTAGTTCATAATGATTACTGTACTGTATGTTAATTAATGTATTAATTTTGTGTTTATGTAGGACAAGTGTAAAATACTGTAATCCTCAGGTGCAGGTAAAAGAAATTTCTTGATCAAATAGAAAATTATTTAACAGCCCATTTTTTCCATTAAATCTCTTGAGGCAGCATCATTGTGGCACAGCACTTGCTATATAGATTAACATATTTATCTGGCACACCTGTCATGTGTTACTCTTTTAAACTTAAAAGTAAAGTTATATATGACTAAGAATGGAAATTTGATAGCCATTTCTTCCCAGGAATTTCTGTAAATAGCTTAAGTGACTTGACAGCTATGCTGACTCTATTAATATATCTAAGTAACAAAGTACAGAGCAGTACTTCAATACTTACATGCATCAAGCAGGTGTTTTTAATTTAAGAAAGTATGACAATTTGATGACCATTCTTTTCTGTCATGGAATTTTTGTTTAATGTATGAAGTGATGTCATGCACATGGAATAAATATTTGATAAATTTAAAAGTTGTGATTAAGCAACCAGGCTGAGCACAAGTGACCAAGATCCCTACAGTAGAATGCCATGACCAATCTTGTGTGCGCATTTAGTTGACATAGGAGGGTGTTGGGAAGAATATTATGGACTCACATTATTTCATCACCAAGTCATTTATTGTTAGGCACCCACAGATTCCCTCCCTCTTCAGTATACAGAAGGTACTGAAATATGTTGTGTAATTAAACCTTGAGAAACCTGTACATTGTTTTTAATTGGTTGTTTCTGTGAAAAGTAACTGTTTTATGTGTGTGTGTATTTTTGTTTTACATAGTTATTAATACTGACTCAATTTGCAGGTCTACAGCAAGGAAAAGAAGCGCTATCATTGCAAGAATAAATATTATGGACAGAAACTTTCTGAGGAAGGGTTTAAAGAGACTTTATGGCAGTTTCTTCACAATGGTCACAGACTTCGACTAGATATAGCTGAATTAATAATTAGCAAGTTAGAAGAATTAAGAGCCATTATATCTAAACTAGATTCAGTTCGATTCTTTACCTCATCTTTATTAATTATTTATGATGGCTATGATCCATACAATGTGAAACTACATCAGCGGGAACGAGAATGTGAGAGAGAAAGAGAGGGCAAAGATGCTGAAAGTAACAGAGTCAAGATGTGGCCAGAGTCTCGAGCAGACGATGGAAACTCACCTCGGGATAATTGGCCTCCAAAGGAACCCTGTACACCGAGTCTAGGGGCTAAGCATCCTGCCTATATGCGTGAGGCTCCAACTACAGGTGGAGGAAAGGCCCCCAGAGAGCAGATAAGTCGAAATGAAGGTGAGCCTCCATATAAAGCAAAAGGCAGATACAGAAATAGGAACTATAAACCTCCGATCGACATACGTCTCATAGATTTTGCTCACTCCACTCACAAAGGCATGGGTGATTCAAAAGTATACAGTGGACCTGATGAAGGTATAATGCTTGGTCTTGATAGTCTTACAAAAATATTTACTGATATCAGAGAATCCTTTGACCATTGACATTTTCACAAGACCTATTTATTCTAGGTCTTTAAATGTGTTTTTTGTCTATGTTAGACAACACATCACATATTCAGATTCATCACATCATGAATATTTCAGTCTGTTGTGTATGTGCAAATGTAGTCGTACATTTATTATTATTCCATGTCAGAAAGATGGTTGTACATAGGGTATCACAAATTCTATATTCTGTGAAAAGAGTATAGGTGTAGCAACCTATGGCTTAGGCATCTTTGACCCATTGTCACTTTTGTGGTAAAAATCTCATGTTGTGTAAATTCATTATTATACATCAACTCATTGCAGTGCCAAAGCACCAACAATCCTAAATTGTGTATTATGGGGGAGGGGGTAAAGGTAATGAATAGTGAGATTGATAAAGTTTTAAATAATTCTGAATGATTTAGGTAGTACACTTTAGGCCCCGAACCACTGTACATGTATAATCATAAGAGTAATCATGGGAATGATTGAAGGTAAAGCTATTGCTGGATTGGTCTAGAGATGCAGTAAACAGCCTTGAGAGACTGGTTGTGTGTACCTCTTGAGTTATTTTCTCTCTTCTCTACTGAAGGGGCACTTTCAGCTTTTGCCATGTTTACCTCATTTTGTATGATTTTTACGCAAAGGAGAGATATATTTTAAGAATTTTTAATCCATACTCAGTGAATTTCATGCTTATCCTGTAGGAGCATTATTATATTCAGCAGGCAAGTTACCGTGTTACAGAACATGATGGTATATATTATTGTCACTGACAGATTGAAAATTTTGCTTTTTTTTTTATTTCATAGTTTTGCCTCTGTCTTTGATGGTGAACAAACAAATTACATTTAAAATTTACACCCAATGAGTAGTGTGGTAGTGTCTTGGCTGAAGAATTCGATTTTTTGCGGACCAGAAATGTTAAGTGACCAGATCCGCTAATAACAGATTATGCTGGAGCTGAGATGAACCCTGGTGATCAATACCTGTAGTAAGGTTGCATTTTGATGTCACAGAGGAGTTGATGGTTTGTTTATGGTTGTTGCTGGCAATATGATATCACCAAATACTGATCAAAATATATCAGTGATGTTCTTTTGGGTGCATAGACACACAAGGGAAAGTTTGGGGATTAATATTTTAGTTTTTACCGTAAATAATAATAGGCTACGAGAAATAAACTGAAAAGGCTGAACGTCATCTACACTGAAGTGGTAGTATAAGCTAATTCATTAAATGCAGTAAAGTTTAGTGGAATTTTATAGTTAATTGTCCCATAAACGGAGAACAAATTAATTATTCTTTCTGCCATATCAATGTACAGTATTGTAAAAGATTTATCACAAAGCCAGACAGAGTTTTTGGATGTTCTTGCAATAGAGTAAATTCTGTACCACTGAGTTTTGAAGAGCACAATTATTCCAGTGTTGGTTAGTTATGGGAAAAGTGTCACTAATAAATTTTTACAGTACTCACCACAAGCTTAACTCGCTCATTTTTTATTAAACAAAGCAGTACAGTATTTCTATCAGCTCTCTTCCACTTAATGCAGGCCAAGCCAAGGCAAGCCACCATATTTTTTGTGTTCTCATTTTAGTGGTTTTATGGTTTTACTACTTTTCATTTTAATAATAATCTTTGTGAGTAAGAAGAATGACAATCCTCTTTCATCAGTGCTTAATGACATTGCTCACCAAAAATTGGAAATGGGCTGTGATTAGATTTTGAAATGCAAAAACATCTTTGTTCCTCTCTCACCTTTTCCCTTCCTTCATTATTTTCCTCCTCTTCTGCAGTGCTGAGACAAAACTGCTCCAACAGAATAAATAATTACCCCGGTACTTTGTATTCTGAAAGTTAACAGCATAGCATGGCTGTAGCAATGTAAATGTGCTGGTCCTTGAAAATATTGTTCAAGAAAGCATGTGGGTATAATTTGGCACATGAATTATTTTGGTTCATTAGAATATTAAACACAAAAGAGTGAATGGATTGAACTATGAATTATGAAGGCCTTACGTTCTCACCTAACTGTAATGAGCTTTATGCTAAAAATGGCAAGATATGATTTGCATATCCAGCCATAAAGTTATTTTACACATTCAGGCTGTTTTATGTTTTACCATCATTTTACCCATAAAAACTTTGGTTATGATGAAAGCAATAATTTGTACAAGTCTGGAGTCTAGATATGCCAGGCCCAAGGTTATTTACTGGTCCAGTACAGTAGTCAACACCGGTGCTTTACTACAAATAATGGTTCTGTATATTTAAAGTAACTAATCATTTCTAATTTCCAAGCATAATCAGAAAGTTGTGTTAGTGAAAAATGGCTCACAATTTCATTTCAGTTGTAAACATAAGCCCATGCATTTTGTGATGTCAGTGCAACCCTTCTATAACAGCTACTTTCACACACACACACACACATCATTGGGACATCATGAAAACTCTGCATTCCTGTTCTATGAAATATCAGGTTATGTCGTTTTCATGATATTTTCAAGGTTTGTCAATCTCATCATGGAATGTCAAGTTCCCAGGATCTTGACACACTGTGAACTGGCATACTGGCAGGTTAGTTTCATATTGTCATTATTACTGTGTGCTCATGTCAGTGAATGCATAAATGGCCTTTGTATATACAGTAGTAGAATATTTGAAATGCTGTAGTAAGAGTTATTATATGAAGGGTACTCTCATTTTAAGAGGAAGAATTTGGGCTTATACCTGTGTTATGTTTTATTCCATACTGGCAGTTTCAGATTGTAATAATATCTTGCATCTTCTCAGGGATCATAAGCCCTTATTTAAATTATCATAATATCTTTTCATCGGTAGAACTATTGGATGATACAGCAGTACATATTGATTGTTCTGGATAATAGAACATGAAAATTACAGAGTTACACCAGTTAATTACCTGTACAGTTATGAAAAGTATTTTGTTTTTTATATTCTGATGCATAAAATGCTATTTTATACAAAATAATGAGGGTGATGTATTATTTTTAATCAGACTCTTTTTAATTAGCAAAGCCTGCTAATTAAGAGACGTTATTTTGTGCCCTAGTCAAGTGGAATGTTGCGTTACAAGTAAGTATCTAACAAGTTTAGGTATTAAACATATGATATATAGTATATGCAAATACTTTTTAAGCATACTTTTGTATGGAAATAAAGATTAGATCTTTATTTGAATCACTCTGGTTTGACTCTGATTATTCAGATAGGATATACAATACTGTATTTTATGTTGAGTCACAGAAATTACAAGTAACTACAGAATGTCAGGTACTGTGCCTCCACACCTCAAGATCATAGTGTAGATTTACATGTTAATATTTTCTCTACGGGCTAGAATGTGAAAATGCTTCACTGGCTCATTCAGGATTCAATGCAAAGATAGCAAATGGTGTCAAAATTTCAGCAAAATTCTATTGTAAGTAGTTGTGATCTGAGCCTCAGTTACAAGGAACCATTGTTGAATGAAACTGAGTCTCCAGGATCAGACAACTGTTTTAACGTGTTTTTTAGTCCATGGTCATATTACAAAAAATACCTTAATTATTAATTTTGTGTAATTAGTATTCATAAGAAATGTTTACAATTTTTATAACCAATTACTTGGGTAGAGTAAACAGTTTTGGTATTAAAAAAGATTTTGTCGGTAACTTTCCAAAGGAACCATACTTTTATTATTAATGATTTTTTTACAAAGGAGTTCTAGTATGCTTGATGGTTGACAGTTTCTCAGTAATTTGTTTTTAATTGCAGTATGATTTTGAATGAACTTGTTTTAAAAGTGTGTAGAAGGCTTTAAGCATTAGCCAACCATGAAGTACAGTACAGTACTACTGCTGTAACGTAAGGTATGCCCAGATCCCTCTTTTCTCCTCCATATCATGATTGCATCTGTGAGAACACTTGCCTTTTTGTCAGTATTCCAACTTCCAGAACCTCTCTGCCTGTCAAAATTAATTTATATCCCAGACTAGCAGCATTCTGTGGAACACTGTCAAAAAATATATTTTTCAATATCACACAACTTGCAACAGTTTAAAACATTTTGCTTCACAAAGTTTCAATCTTTGGTCAGGAGATAATTTTGGTGAATATAATTGATAAGATTATGTGTCTGCTCTATTTATTTGCTAAATAAATGGAAAATAATGAAAACAAAATGATCTGTTGGGAGAGTGAAAGTTGATCCTAATCAAAACTGTTTATGTACAGTCTCGTTCAAGATTCTTTGAGCACTGCTGGAGACAGCTGGCAACTCAAGGCCGTTTGTGTACTATAGTACGTAGTATAATATAATACGAAAAAACAGAGCCCAACCATTAAATTAAGCAACGGGGAACTAAGTAACCGATCACTTTTACATTTATTCATAATTTTTTCTACGTACTATAGTAAACAAACGGCCTTGAGTTGCCAGCTGTCTCCAGCAGTGTTTGAAGAATCTTGAACGAGACTGTACCTATCCCACTACTGCCCTGGATCATTTAGTACTGTATGAATGTCAACCATTGGCAGTTCACAATCCTGTTTTTATATATTTTAGTGAAGTTTCACAAGAAGAGTATGCAAAATGCTGGTGTAATGAAGTCAGTAAAATATTAAATGTGTGAGTTTGCAATTGTGTAGAGGCTTGCTCAAAGTATTGCAACCACTTAGGTATGGTTATGAAATGTGCATCTACAGAAGAGTATGAAGTTGCCTGGTACCACCCTGCCATAAATCTAATCTTTAACTCCCACCAAACTACTGTTTGTACATTAATATATATATATATATATATATATATATATATATATATATATATATATATATATATATATATATATATATATATATATATATATATATATATATATATATATATACACACAGTATATATATTTTATTGCTCAGCAGAATTTATTGTTTTCTGCTTTGTCTTTTTGGAGCAAGAAGCAAAATTATAAAGATGTAATTTAGATATGTAAATAAAAATTGTACACATGTAAGGGCTAGAGACAGCTAATTATCTCTCTTGGCTTTGTGTGAACCAGTTGATTCCTGAAAAATTCTTATTGATGAACAAACCTCTTTTACATTTCTAAGTCTCTTCCAGATTGTCAAAGTCAAGTCAGCTCTCTTCACCTAAGTAAGAAGTTTTGTGTATCATATGAGAAAGGGATCATGGAGTCAGTGATTATGAAAGAAATATTGAAAGAAAGATGAGTACCTGTATATCTTTTTGTTGTTTGTAGTTTACTTTGCAGACCCTTATGTTACTCAAGGCTACTGTGCACTCATGACACAATGGGTGATTTGGAAACATAGTATGACCTCTGCAGGAAGGGAGGATAGATAGTGCTTTTGTGCTTTCCAAATAAAGTCCAACATCATAGAAGGAAGTTAGTGTGACAGAATTGTACTGATGCTGTTTAGGATTGATAGCAAAGAATAAGTAAAAATTATATTGAGGTATTAGCTTGTTTTCTGGAGATAATCAGGTGTACAGAAACTAAGAGGTAGTAAGATGTACAGCTAACCAGATGTGGTTTGGTGTACAACTATCTGGAGGTGATTTTGTGTACAATGTAGTGTTAATATAAAACTGCTGACCTCCCTTTGCATCTTGCCAGGTGGAACTGGAGTACAAAATATGTAAGATTAAATTAATGAAAATAAATCAAACAAATTTATAATGAATGGTTGGTTAGTTTGTCCTGTTTCAATTGTTAGGTTCATCCACACCACATTTGAATATAGATCTATTCATATTTCTAAACTCCTTTTGAAGGCAATAGATTAAGTCAAGAGCATCCAAATGGCTCTGGAGTTTTAAGTATGTTGAATTATACTCTCATCTCCATTCTGTGCTACACCCTCTATTGTACCAGTCTGTCTTTTGTCACACTTTCTCCTTGTTCAGTACTGTACATTTTACAACAGACTTCCACCCATTTGAATATACTAATACACTGCACAGGTCTCTTACATTGTTTCTACTTAAATATTTATTGTAATGGTAGTGTATTGATTAGTAATTTTGGCCTCTTATTTTTTTTAGCACAGTACTGTAGAATAGGTGGCTTGAAAAGAATTATGGGAGTTTTTTATATTAATAGAGTAAAGAATGAATATCCTGTATTAAAACACAGTTTGGTATTAAATATTCTCTGGAGAGTCAAGTTGATAACTGCACTAAAGTACTACAGTAGCTATAGGTATTGGCATATAAGCGAGAGTGGTAAGAAAGTTGTATGGCAGTATCGTTGAGGCACGAGTGAAAGCAAGAGATTATATAGGTGAATTATTAGGGCCTTGAGATGTCATATTTGATGGTGCTTGAAATGTGATTGTAGATGTTGAACAGTGGGTTTTTTATTATGTGACGGTGATAACTTGAGCAAAACTGAAGCTAAATTAGTCCAAATGAAGCTCTGTGAATCAGTTTGGTAGTGAAGAATTGCTCTATGCTGTGCTTGTGTAGAGTGATGTGGACAACAGTGGATGGTTCTAATTGCTGTTTTAGCCCATACCAATCGCTTAATGCTACCGCTCCTCCCATATTATCTCGACATTTGTTTTCTGAATTTTCATCCATATTCATCAGCAAATATATGAGTAAACTGTACAACATTCAAGGTAATATAAGCAGAGAATTGTCCTTTGCTCTTTTTTATCTTCATCTTCAATACTTCACAAAACTGTTTATCCTTACCTAACTAAAATCACCATAACTT